TCTTCCATTTTATTGTCCCCTAACTTTTGGTGCATGAATTCTATATATTCATTTTTTTTTTTTGGCATCTCTCCTAGGAAACCTGAATATGCCTCTATAATTCTTTGAATATCTTGCCGAGTTTCTTTAGTTTTAGACTAGGTTTCTCTTATACTTTGGTGGGCTTAAATTACCTTGATCATTCTCACTTTGCTTGAGTTGGTTTTGGAACGTAGTTCCATTGTTGTTGCTTGGAGGAGTTCAAGCTGCTGAAGTTGGAGTTCATCTTTGGCGTTGAACCTTGAGAGGAGCTCAAGGGTGACCAAGAGATCTTATGGAGTGAAGCTTGCTTTGGTGGCTTGATGTTCAACCAAAGAAGTGAAGATTGAAATGTTGACAAAAAACAAGGATTGTTTTGCAACTTGTGCTTACCTTTAGCTTTGTATTTGAACACATAAGTTTTACATAGTGGATTGCTTCTTTTGGACTTGGTCCCATGAATGTAGGCAAGTTGTCGACCCATGTAAAAATAAGTTGTGTTCTTTACTTTCAGTCATAGATGATTTACTTGTATTGATCATTGTTTAATCAACTAATAAAGCACAAAATGAACAAGTGAATCCATTCTGCTTAAGTTTTAAAACTTTCATTTGGTATCAGAGCTTGTTCTAAAGAGTTATTTTAGTTGATCCTTGCTTGTTGTTTGTGCTTTAATCGAATTTTTGTGTTTGTTTTCTTCCTGGTTTTTCTCACGTTTTTGAGCAGATATGCTCGCTATAGACCTTGTGACCACTTTGGTATATGTTGTTGGGAGTAATGTGTTGATATGTGAAAAAAAGATGTGTTTTCATATGCTTTTGGGAATAGGCTGGAGGAATTTGTTTATTTTGCAACAGAAGAGTTCCAGTTTAGACTTTTTTTGTTAGATATTCAACAACAGAGGAGTTCTAGCTTGAAGGGAAATATTAGACAAAAGAAATTTTAGATATTCAGCAACAAAGGAGTTCCAGTTTAAGGGGAAATATTTGCCAAAAGAAATGTCAGATATTCAACAACAGAGGAGTTCCAGTTTGAGGGGAAATATTTAACAAAATATATGTTTTATTTTATATTAATAATGCTCTGGTTAAATTGCAAAGTTAAAAACTACTGTAGAAAACACTACGTTTGACTTTCAAAGTACATAAAAACTTGTAGCACGTACTTTTCAAATCAGTTAATGAAAGTTCTCATTTTTTGCTTCCTTCATCTTGTTTCTTCTCTGTTTTTTCTTGATTTCTTGAAATTCTTGAAACTTCTTCACTCAAGANCAAGATGTTGAACCAAGGTTACCTTTAGCGAGCCCATCTGCATTTTCTTTACTCCAAGGATGAATTGTAGGCTGTCATTAAGTAGCGTGACATCTTTTTAGTGCCCTTTGAAGATGACGAGATAAATCTGTTTATGATTTAAAACTTTGTGCATATGATCTTTTAAAGCCTAATCTATTGTAGCTATTGGACATAAATGAAGTACCTGAAACCTAGTTAAAATAGTGTTCAAAAGTATTGGGCATTAAATTATGGTTCAATGATCCAGTAAAATGGTTTGAGCCCGAGGGACATGTTGATCGATGTAAGATTATAATTTGTTGCGTACATTTATAATCTACCCAAATATACATACCACTGAAACCTCAAACTCTATGGTTAGTTTATATATACAACTGAAACCTCAACTCTATGGTTAGTTCATATAAAAATAGCTCAAGTTAGTGGATGAGGAGATAAGCAATTATCAATGTGTCAATGGTTTGATATGGACTCTTAGGTGTATTATTCAGTAGGTTTTGAGTTCGAGTCCCTTTTCAGTTGCTAATAGAGGTACATAGTCACTGGAGCTCTTATCCAACCAAAGCTGACCCAGACACTCTCAGTTATTTAAAAAAAAAAAAAGTATTATAAGTGTAAGTATTTTTTGTCAAATTATGAATTCAATGTGATAACATTGATTTTTGATGTCGTGACATCATCTTGTCTTTGCACAATCATTTCATAATTATCAAGTGTCACCACACTCATTGTCAGTGTGATGACACGAACCCAACCAGATATTTTATTTACACATGTTACATTTTTATTAATTCTAGGATATTGTTCCCTTCTTAGATATTTTAAGTGGTCCATGTACACTTGCCATCATATAAAAAAGTGTACTGGAAAAGTTGTTTTGCCTTGTCATGGTGTCAAGAATCTTTTCGTAAAAAGGTAAAACAAAATGCTTTTCTTCCGTTTTATTGTCCCCCAACTTTTGGTGCATGAATTCTATATATTCAATTTTTTTTTTTTTTTTTTTGGCATTCTCCTAGGAAGCCTGAATATGCCTCTATAATTCTTTGAATATCTTGCCGAGGTTCTTTTGTTTTAGACTAGGTTTCTCTTATGTTTTGGTACGCTTAAATTACCTTGATCATTCTCACTTTGCTTGAGTTGGTTTTGGAACATAGTTGCATTGTTGTTGCTTGGAGGAGTTCAAGCTGCTGAAGCTGGAGTTCATCTTTGGCGTTGAACCTTGAGAGGAGCTCAAGGGTGACTAGGTTATCTTATGGAGTGAAGCTTGCTTTGGTGGCTTGATGTTCAACCAAAGAAGTGAAGATTGAAGTGTTGACAAAAAACAAGGATTGTTTTGCAACTTGTGCTTACCTTTAGCTTTGTATTTGAACATATAAGTTTTACATAGTGGATTGCTTCTTTTGGACTTGGTCCTATGAATGTAGGCAAGTTGTCGACCCATGTAAAAATGAGTTGTGTTCTTTACTTTCAGTCATGGATGATTTACTTGTATTGATCATTGTTTAATCAACTCATAAAGCACAAAATGAACAAGTGAATCCATTCCGCTTAAGTTTTAACAACTTGGTAAGTTTTAAAACTTTCATTTGGTATCAAAGCTTGTTCTAAAGAGTTATTTTAGTTGATCCTTGTTTGTTGTTTGTGCTTTAATCGAATTTTTGTGTTTGTTTTCTTCCGGGTATTTCTAACGTTTTTGAGCAGATCTGCTCGCTATAAACCTTGTGACCACTTTGGTATATGTTGTTGGGAGTAATGTGTTGATATGTGAAAAAAAGATGTGTTTTCATATGCTTTTGGGAGTAGGCTGGAGGAATTTGTTTATTTTGCAACAGAAGAGTTCCAGTTTAGACTTTTTTTGTTAGATATTCAGCAACAGAGGAGTTCTTGCTTGAAGGGAAATATTAGACAAACGAAATTTTAGATATTCAGCAACAAAGGAGTTCCAGTTTGAGGGGAAATATTTGCCAAAAGAAATGTTAGATATTCAACAACAGAGAAGTTCCAGTTTGAGGGGAAATATTTAACAAAATATATGTTTTATTTTATATTAATAATGCTTTGGTTAAATTGAAAAGTTAAAAACTACTGTAGAAAACACTGCGTTTGACTTTCAATGTACATAAAAATTTGTAGCATGTACTTTTCAAATCAGTTAATGAAAGTTCTCATTTTTTGCTTCCTTCATCTTGTTTCTTCTCTGTTTTTTCTTGATTTCTTGAAATTCTTGAAACTTCTTCACTCAAGAAGCTCACATGCCTATTGATGATATAGTGTATGGACCAAAAATTGCATTGGGCCTGACGAGGCCCAATAACAAAATAAACGTATTACGACCCAATGACTGAGCCCAATTTAGGTTGGGCTTATGCTTAAATCTACATTTTGAACTGATCACTCTATGAGTTAGACTATCCTACAAGTTAAAATAAACTAGGGTCTGACCCATTAGCCCACAGTCCTCCATAATAGGAATCAAAATCCTATTAGATTTCCACGTCTGTCAAGATCCTGGATCTTATTGAAAATGTCAAGACTAATATAATAAAGGCAAGAGATCATATTTTATTCCTAATTGGAACTCATCAATTAAGTAGAACTCAGAGTCCTACAAGGATTCTAACCCTTAGGGTTCACTATATAAATAGAGGCAAATTCTCTCATTAGGCATTCAAAAATCACCTACAACACTTAAGCTCTTGAAGTTCTTTAAGCTCTTGAAGTTCTTGCTCGCAAGAATCGCCGCATTTATTTCGATAATCTTTCCCGTTCTCAACCTTTACTAAATACTCCCAGCCTCACTAACTTAAGCGTCAGAATACCTACGACAAACACCACACTGATGTCACCTAACCCTTCACGTCCCCTTTTGCTCTTTGTGCAGGTCCACCAAATTGTCAATGGCTCGCTTCACACAAGATATGTCCCTCTCAACTTAACCATAAATTTTATCATCTATAGTTTGGCGCCCACCATAGGGCCCTAACAATTATTCAAAACGACTTGCTCCCTTCATTTAGTCATCATGATTTACAACACCAAAGCCCCCATGCTAGACGTTCTAACTCAAATTGCGACTCTCACCATCCTAGTGCAAGAGAGAATTAAGAAGCACCAAGCCTTAAAAGCTCAAAATGTCGCCACCCATGTAGAGAATCAGGCTCTTCAAGACAAGGTAACACAATTTTACTCTCTAGATTGGTCTTTAAATCACTATCTTGCATCTTATTTTCTGCTCCGTATTCACCCTAGACAATTGTTTTGCACCCCAGATCATGGCACCCTCATAGAACCACCCCTCTGCTCGGTTCCAACAACCATCATACCCCCAATCAAGCTAACCTAAGACAATAACACTCCACCCATCATTCACTCGGTAGCTAAAACACTCCGTCAAGCTACCCCATTCCAGTAACTAGACATTCATCCCATCCTCCCACAAACACAACCCAGTCAACCAATAGCCGGTGCCACTAACCAAACAGTTCGGCTCAACTCAACCATACACATCAATCCAACGTCTTCCTTCAATTCTTATATAGCTTATACAACCTCATGGCAACCCCTGTTGAGTAAACATTAAATAAGCGACTCGTTGAGATGGAAACCATGATCCAACACATTCTTAGCCTACCCACACCCCTCAAGAAAAGCTAACCCCAAAGCTATGTTGATTCACCCTTCATAGACACCATGGCACTTGTAAAGATATCACGCAAATTCACCTTCCCTAATATGAAACTCTACAATGGAACCACCAACCCGGACGACCACATAGCCTCCTACAAACAAAGAATGTTTGCCATCGTCATACCTCGAGATCTCTACGAAGCATGCATGTGCAAGAGTTTCGGCTCTAGCCTCATGCGATCAATGCTCCAATGGTATACCAACCTCCCTAATAACTCCATCACATCCTTCGCCCAGCTCACAAACACCTTCGTGGAGCAGTTCACTAGCAGGAAAAAGTTAGAAATGTTGTTTGGCGATCTCTACCAAATCCGCCAACACCATAATGAGTTGCTCCGAGAGTATGTGGGACACTTTAGCCACGAGAAAGTCTCCATCCCTTACTGCAATCAAGAGACTGTGATAGATGCCTTCAAGAAAGGACTCCTCCCTGATGGTGAGTTGTACAAAGAACTCATCAATTTTAACTACACTACAATGGAAGATATACTGGCTGGCACATGGATAGAGATAAGGTGGGAAGAGGATGAAGTCCATAGGAACAAACTCAACACTGTCAACGATCGCCATCATTGCCGAGGTGATCGATGCCATGATACATGACTAGCCAAGCATATCGAGTGAGGAGAGGCCCAATTCGTGATAATAGATGCCTTCAAGAGCACTATTCGGCTCGACATACCAAAAGAACATTTGACCAGTCCCTCAGATACAAAATACCTGACTATAACCTAAACATCGAGCAGGCAGAGGTTGTCGTTGTGATGAAAGAAATAGGGAAGGTTGTCACATAGCCATAAAGTTGAAGCACACTGGGGCCAAACGAGACACTACCAAGTGATGTGAATTCCATAGGGACCACGACCATGTCACCGTCGATTATATCGCTCTCTGTCTCAAAGTTATGGGGTTACTAAAGAGGGGTCACCTCCAAGACTTTCTAACAAATAAAGGAAAGACCATCTTAGCAAACAGGGACCGCCAAATTACACCTCCACCAAGAGCACCACCCACAAACGGGTTGTGCAATGTAATCTCAGACAGCTCTGAAGTAAGCAGTGTAACTTACTTCTCGGCCAAGTGCCACGCAAAAGCCGCAACTAATACTAAGCACCATTCTCCTCAACCATCCCCTCAGGGGCCAACGAATTTGACAATTGAATTTGTTGACAATGAAACGGCGTTGCTTCTCAACCTTTACCATGATGCACTCGTCATCACCTTCCAGATAGCCAACATTCTCGTCAAGAGGATCCTCGCAGATCATGGCTCCTAAGCGAACATCATGTTCCTTGAGGCCTTCAAAGTCATGGGGTTGGATGAGCCCAACATCAACCGCCACTCCACGCTCCCCGTTGGCTTTAGCTTAAAACAGAAGTATGCTATTATGGAGATAGCTCTACCGGTCTACATCAAGGGAATTAACCTCCAGACAACATTCATGATATTAGATGCTCCATCCCCATACAATGTGATATTGGGCTAACCGTGGATCCATGGCATGCGGTCCATCCCTTCTACCTTCTACCATGCAATTAAGTTCCCCACCAAATGGGGCCTTAAAAAGACCAAGGGAGATAAAAAAAATTCCAAAGATTGCTATTAGAATACCTTCAAGACAAAGCGGGATGCCATGTAGCAACTACAATTCCACTCGGTTAGAGGAGTCGAGCCAGACTAGCTAGCTATAGAGGAGCTGGATGAAGTTCAAATACACCCAGATCACACGGATCATAAGACCCAAATTGGGACATGACTTTGACCTGACATCCAAAAGAAGTTGGTGGACTTCCTCAAGCTAAACCAAGACTGTTTCGCTTGGTCTCATGCAGATATGATGAGAATCAATCCCAAAGCTATCGTTCACCAATTAAATGCCGACCTAAATCATCCCCTTGTGAAACAGAAGAGAAGGAAGTTTTCTCTTGAAAGAAACTAGGTAATCAATGTGGAGGTAGAGAAGCTATTGAGCAACACCTTGGTCCGAGAGTCCAATACTGATAATCCATGGATTATACTATTTTTATTAGACTTCTTAGTTGGATTTCAGATACTTCTTAGTTCATTTTGACCGAAATTGCTACTTAATTCTTTATATTTTGTGTTTCAAGCTAAAATGGATATTTTATGCAAATAAGGAGTGAATTGGAGTTTTTGGACTCAGAAGTGAGCGGATCTCAAAAGTTGGGAAAGTTCTAAAGCAGAGTGGATGCACTGTGAAGCTTGTTTCTATGAGGAGAGTGACGAAGATCGAAGATTCAAGCAAAGAAGTAAGCGAAGGGCAATTGATTACCTAGATTCAAGCATTGGCTCACCTAAAAAGATACCTAACATCACCTCCCTTGCTCTCTAAGCCAAAGACAGGGGGATGACTCTTTACATACATGATCTGAAAGGAAGAAGGAAAGCAAGTGCTAGTCTACTACACCAACAAGTCTCTACTTGAAGCCGATACATGCTATAACCAACCCGAGAAACTTGCGCTCGTTCTTATAACCGCTGCTAGGAAACTAAGACCGTATTTCTAGTGCCACCTGATTGTGGTCTTGACTTCTTACCCTCTTAAAAAGATCCCCCACAAACTAGATTTCTGAGTCAACTAATTTAGTGAACAGTAGAGTTGAGAGAGTTTGACATCTTCTTCCAACCCCACACCACTATCAAATCTCAAGTGCTAGCTGACTTTATCACCGATTTTGCACGTAGCACTTCTATTCAAGCAAAGAGGAAGCTCTTATGCTTGACAGACAAGGGCTCATCTAAATGGATCCTCTCGATAGACGGTTCAAGGAACATCAATGGTAGCAGACTAGGACTTGTCCTAACTACCTCGGAGGGGGACATCATACAGCAATACATCTGCCGTGACTTGAACGCAACCAACAATGAAGCTGAGTATGAGACATTGATTGCCGGCCTCTCTTTTGCCAAGGAAATAAGGGTTAAGAAACTCAAAGTTAAGTCTGATTCATAGTTGGTGGTGAATCAACTCCAAAGGCCCCATTAAGCTCGAGACGTTAAAATGACCTCCTACCTCAATTTAGCCAAAAGGCTCCAATCGGTATTCGAAGAGATCACTATCACTCAAGTCCAAAAAGATCAAGAACACACATGCAGACACTTTAGCCAACCCTAGTCAGCTCTTCAAACACCATTGCCAACAATGATCCTTTGGTTCACCACTAAGCACCAACCATCGCAGTTGGCTCGACTGAGATCTCACTAATCAGTTCGAAGGAGTCTTGGTCCTCCACTGCTTGGAAAAAGATGAGCTCCCAGTAAACAAGAACAAGGCACACTGAGTGAAAGCCAAAGTTGCTTGCTTCACCACCCAAGACTGTCGCCTATTCAAGAGATCTTTTTCAGGCCCATATCTTTAGTACATCACCCCCGAGGAAGCAAAATATGTGCTTGCAAAACTCCATGAAAGTGAGTGTGGCAACCACATTGAGGGACGTAACTTTGCCAATCGGGCTGTCATAGTAGGCTACTATTGGTCCATAATGCTTTTCGACTTGGCCAAATTCTCTAAGCATTGTGATAGTTGCCAACGCTTTGCTCCGGTATCACACCTTCCCCTCAAACGGCTCAACTATATCCTCATCTTTTGGCCATTTATAAAGTGAGGGATGGGCATAGTGGATAAGCTCCCAACTGCACCAAGGCAACGAGTCTACATGCTTGCGGTGATCGACTACTTCACTAAGTGGATAGAAGCCGAGGCTTTTGCCCAAATCAAGGACTGTGAAGTGAAAACTTCGTGTGGAAAAACATCATTTGTCGGTTTGGCTTACCAAAGGACATTGTCACTAACAACTGCTCCCAATTTTTAAGTTCCAGCTTCCAAGACTTTTGCAAAATGTGGGAGATCAAGCTAAGCTTTTCCACTCCACTTACCCCCAAGCAAATGGACAAGCCAAGTCATCCAACAAGACCATTCATCAAACAATGAAAAAATGACTCCAGAAAGCCAAGAGAGCTTAGGCAGATGAGCTGCCTGGGGTGTTATTGTCCTACCACATCGCGACTCGGTTCTCTATGAGAGAAACACCATTCTCTTTAGCATATGGTTCAAAAAGCGTAATTCCAACAGAAGTATTGACCCTCTCGGCTCCACTCCAATGGATGGATAAAGACACCAATGGGCAACAACTTTGTCACTACCTCGACACCGCCTATGAGTTAAGGAATCAAGCCCTCATCGCAATGCTATCTATTAACAAAAGATGGCTCGACACTACAACAATAATGTCTGAGTCAAGGTCTTCAAGGTTAGCGATTAGCTCTTATGCCAAGTGTTTTAAAACACAAAAGAGTTAGGAGTTGGCAAAGTCGGCCCCATATGGGAGGGGACTTACAAGATCACCAAGGTTGTTAGGAAAGCAGCCTATCAACTACAATCACCAGAAGGTAAAAACATCACCAATAATCGGAACGCGACCCACTTAAAAGTTTATCACTTCTTATAGCTCTTAGCTCGGCTCTATCACCATAGGGTTAGACATTTTTCATCACAAAGTGTATAATAGGGGACAAGGTGAGCCTGTCCATTCCCTCCAATTGCCTTTAAATAAATTCTACTCTGGTGCAGATTTACTCTCTTTTTATTCATTAAATAAATCAAGGTATTATTTAATATGTTAAAGTGTTTAAGTGTGTGTTTACGATAGACGGCCCAAGGGCTATAAGGAACATTCCCTTCACACATGATCAAGGCCTCAAATGGTTAAGTCACAAATATTCATAACACTTAGAAAATAAAACTCAAATATCAAAAAAAGAAGCAAATAGGGTCGAGCCCCTATCATTGAAAAAGTAAAGCCTCAAGGGTTGAATCCATCATCTAGTGCACTCAACACTTTAGATACAAAAAAGAGAAAACAAAAACAAGACTTAAAATCTAAATTCTAAAGATTCAAATCAGCCGCATCACTCAGCACAGCCCCATCATCAATCAGTTGAACATAAGAGTTGTGAGGCTCGTTTCTTTTGTCCTCCTCTTACTAAGTTTTCCACCCAACCAATTCTTTCCTTTACTCAGTCAGCTCAATTGGTATAGTAGCACCACACTTTCCTCGTGCAGCTCTCTCCTCCAAATCCGCAAGATAGGATTTGTACAAATCAATCTCCTCGTCAAGGTCCCACTCATCATTCTTGCAGGCCTTGAAATCTTCCATTAGCTAGGTTGTGGTCTTCAACACTACCTCGGTAGCCATAAACTCTAATCTATTCAAAAGGGTAGCTCTTTTGATCTCCCACTCAATCCAGTCAGACTCCAACTGATCTTAGACATTCTATAGCTGGGACCAAACCTTGGCTCAGTTTTCATGAAGCTCTCTCTATGTCTTTACAGCCTTGACCAGTTGCTTCCTCATGTGGGAGTTGGCATTAGCCAAGTTCAAGTTCTATTTCTCCTTATCAGATACTAGCTTCTTCAGATGTATCCCCTAAGCAACAACCTATAAGTAAAGAAAGCGGTAAGGTAAAGCATAAAACTTACACTAAAAACTATCAAAAAAGATAACCCCTACATACCAGAAACAAGAGAGTGGAGAACCAGTTGGCCGCTTGATCAACCCCAATCCCTCTCAGCTGGCACTCAT